GAGTCTGTTTTCTCCTGTACTATGTAGCCACGCATGTGTCTGTTCAGTTCTTTCTTTCTTGTTTTTTTTAAGCATGACTGTCTGGTAGTTGCTTCTGAGTCAGCATGTCTTAGCAGTCAGTTTATGATTAGTTAGAAGTTATGTTTTAACTCCTTGCAACAATGAGGCCCCCATCCTGTGTCAGTGGTCCTGCCGAGACTTGGGAAATGTATTCAAAATCGAGGCATTATATGACTCTGCCCTGGCTTTTGCTTTTTGTATTTGCCAGGCTCACATTCATCCAGGGATGAGCTCTCTAGGGCCCACTTATTTCTCTCCTGCGTGTTTACAGTCTTTCCTGCACACAGAAGAAAAAGTAGATTCTTAACAAGGCACCCATTGGTTGTCTTATTGCCTGAGTCTCACTGTTAAATTTCTGGTTAGTCTACTGTTCTGTTGCTTGCCCTAACTAGTACTGTAATCTCAGATTAGCTGTGATATTGGCCTTTCCTGTTTTTTTGCACCTTGAATCACTCTTATTTTTGAAAATGCCTTTGCACATGGAATTCTTCTTGTTCTGCTCTAAACAAATTTAGCTCCCTGTGCTGTGGGCTTGCTGCCTTAGTAGGATTTTCACATCAAGGAACTGGGAGTAGGCGTAGGATGGTGGGAGCTCCAGCCTAAACCACCACACACTCTCACTGTTGTTACTGAGATTCAGTAGATTTTCTTGAATAAACACTTCTCAATTTGTTGTAGCCTTTGGTTAGTATCTAGACCCTTAAAATGGTTGCTTTTTGATGATTTTTGTCCATACTTATTGTTGGGGGTATATAATATTTGTCAAACTCCTCATTCAGACATCCTGGGAGATTCTTCTCCCTGCCTTCTCTCTCTCTCTTTCTCTGACTGATTTTTAAACATTTAAATTTTATTTAAATTTTAGTTCAGAATATGTTATGAATATTATGTTTAATATTTTTTTAAAAAATAGTATTAAGTAGTGTTTTAACATTACTTAACTATTTTAGTGAAAGTGAAAGTCTCTCAGTTGTGTCTGACTCTTTTCGAGTCACATGGACTATATAGCTCATGGAATTCTCCAGGCCAGAATACTGGAGTGGGTAGCCTTTCCCTTTACCAGGGGTTCTTCCCAACCCAGGGATCAAACCCAGGTCTCCTGCATTGCAGGTGGATTCTTTACTAGCTGAGCTACCAGGAAAGCCCTTAATTATTTTGTGTATTTCCTAATTATTTTGTAATGTTAATTTTCTATTTTTAAATGTGATACTTATTATAATCCTATCTCTTTTTTCTTTATTCCTTTAATTATATCCTCTTTATGTGTTTTTATGATCTCTCGCTTTCCATTGGCTCCATCTTAGCTTCTGAATAGGCTCAACCTTTTCTTTCTTTAAACCTCTCATGACTTTATCTCCTGAGTTTCTTTCCTTCACTACCCAGATTCATAAATTTCTTCTGCTCTTGCTACTCATAAGGCTGACTGAGACACAGGGGTAAGGCAGGTAAGATACCCAGGGCACAAACATTTAAGGAGGCACTTACTCTCGGAGTCCTGCAAGCGTAAAGTTGGCACTTGTGTGACTTTGCCTTTATAAATTTTTTATCCTACATACCTTGCTTGCCTCTCCCTAGTCCTGGTCCTGCTACTCATATTTCTCTCTAGTATATATTCATTTTAACTTGGTTTTTGTCCCAGATAGTCTTCATTTATTCAAAATTTTGAGCACTTAAACTCTGTATTGAACATCGGGTCTCAAGTCATCAAATCTTTCACCCAAATGCTTTCTTCATTTTCACTTTCTGAAGTCTAGTGCTTTTCCTTCCTCAATTCCTACTTTTTTGTACCACGTGGCACTCTTGACCACTACTGCGTGTTCATCCTCATCCCAGCCCAACTCTTCAGAATGTGTAGCTATTTCTGTGGCAAAACACCCTCTCTAGGAGCTGGTGGGTGGTTGGGCGGTGTATCAGTGGCACGTATTCTGGAAGCTGGTGAGGATTAAAGAGTAACTTGTGCTTTCAGGATAGGAGCATGCAGGTCTTCTCTGGGGGTGATGGGCTTCACAGTCATATCACTGGGAAGGGAAGAGTGCTTGTTTGTCCACCTTCTGCTTAGCGTCTTATATTCTCGAAATCTTTCCATCTCCTTTCAGTACTTTGAAACCCAAAGGCAGACTTGGACTCTCTGCTCTGCTCAGCTGGTCTGGCTTATTCTTGCCAACGGGGTTTCCTGGTTTTTCCCATTGTTTGCTGACTTGTTTTTAGCATGGTTTCCTGAAATGACCCTGCTTTGCTTGGTGTTCTCACTGCTTGTTCGTGAAAACAAAACTCATCCAGTCAGTTAAGGAATGATTATTGGGCACCTGTTCTATCCGAGATACAGTGGGAGCCAGTGGGGTTACAGTAATGAACCCAACCAAACATTTCATTTCTTCCTGAGCTAAAGAGAAGTTAGGTGCATATCACACCAACCGAGATACTTGCTGTGGGAAAAAAGTTACAAGGGCAGCTTGCCTGTAGACTTTTGAGTTGAGATCTCTGTACCTCCATCTCACTGGACTGGCAGTACCTCCCTTTAATTTTGAACCCTTGCCTGCATCTAGACTTGATATGAAGTACCCCATTTTCAATTCTAGCTTTTGTTTTTGAATTGTCTTTCTTCTGCTTGCAGCTTGCTCCAACCCCTCACCCCACCCTAAGGCTCCCATTATTTGTTTTCGTACCCAGTAGTTGGTGCAAACCCTGGTCATGAACCTGTCTTCCTTTGAAAGTTATTTTCTCTCTTGTTTTCTTATCATCAGACTATATTGGTTTTTCCCCATCCTATCTTTACTAGCTTCTTTGTTATGTTTTCTACTACTTCTTCCTCTTTGCATTTCCTAAAAGTTGCCCTAAGCCAGATTTTGTCCTAGTCCATCTTCTGTATCAGCTTACCCTTTTTTGGCAGTCTCTTCCATTCTAGAAAATTTTGGCATACCATCTTTGTGCAAATGGCTGGCTAATTTATCTCTCTAAGTGATGCTCCAGTTTTCAAGTTTTTGAGGTAGAAGTGTGTAGTTCTATGTGTGTAGATATAAATAGAGATATGTATTGCCACGTAGAGGGATGTAATACTTCGAGTCATTTTCATCTCCCAGTCTCCTTACTTGAAATCTCACCCAGCTGCCACCTTCTTGCTCTCTTTCAGATACGCCTGGTTGCCAAGTGGTGCCTGGTTGGCCTGTGTAAAGCCATGTTCACAGTCTCTTTGTTTCCATGTTTGCAGCTGCAGCTCTAGTTCAGGCCTTCCTTTCCTCTTACCAGTCTGTTTTGGTTCTTTCCTAAGGTGCAGCTGCTGCCAGTCTCTCTCGACTCCAGATAACTCTGAGTGCTGTGCCAGGTTAATTTTTCCTGAAACACAACTTTGATCTGTTGTTCTTCTCTTCCGCTCATTCACACTTCAGAAATTTCCCTACTGCCTTTGAAAACGGGGCTGGTTTTCTAGACCTTCCAACTTGTTTTGTTTTCCTTGCCACTGCCTCCCTTCATATAGGCTGGACTCTGTCCAGATGGAATTAACGTTGCAAGAACCTCCCTGCGTTTTTCTGTTTGTGTGTCTGTTCTCCCCCACCCTGCCCCTTTTGCAGCAGCATGCATTTCTCACATTCTCAGCTCTTCCTTAAAATCTTTTCTGAAGTTCTTTTGGGTTTCTGGACCTGGAGGTGCTCTTCTTCCATCATACATACACGTACCCATACGTACCCATCCTTTAAAAAAATAAAGTGCTTATCACTCCCCACCTGTATTACTGGTTATTTTAATATGATTTTTAAAGTCTCCTTTACTTTTGTATCCCTCATTGTGCCTAGCATAGTACCTTGTGGAAATAGTTGAATTAAGGAGTGGATTCATTTCTGAATGAAATCAGTGGGACAGTCTGGACTCCCGTATGTGCCATTCCCACTACCTTGTTGCTTACCTCAGACTATCTGTTTTTCTCTCTTCTTGAAACTTTTTGACTTTATCTCTGACTCTCTTCATGTATCACTGAGTGGTTTGTTACTCTTGGTCTCTGTTGCTTCTTTTCTGAGTTAGTATTAATTTAGACCTAAAGAAGAATGACATCATTTTGGTGAAGGATGTGTGTGGGAAATTTAGCGGAAATGGAAGCTAGTGTTCAGAATGACATCTTGATCCATTTTATTGGAAAGCAGGCTGCCCACCCAGATTTTGGACATTTGCAAGTATAGGCTTGAAGCCTAGGCCGGTGGCCAGCAGAGAGTAGATGGAGATGTCTTGATGACATGTTCAGTATCCAGGTGGAAGCCTGGGGTTGGGGGTTGCTGGCTGAGCCAGGCAGCTGCCTGTATTCCTTAGGAGCAGCCTCCTGAGATTCTGGTCAGAGGACTGGTTTGAAGTGATGGCAGGTAAGAGAAGGAAAGTAGATGTCTAACTACAATATTGCATTTTTTTTTTAAAGCTAGTGAATCATCGGTGGTTCCATGCATAGTTTGGACATCTGGTGTGGCAGTAAGTTAGGTTATGTTGCTGAACTCTAAAGAATTGATTTATTTGATTTGACAGAGGAACATCATTTATCTAAGGTTAAATTTAGTAAATGCTGCGTCTCTAGAGCCCTACTTTAGTACTTATTTCATGATAGCCTTTATATTCGAGATCTTTGTACCATCTTCAAAACCATATTCCTTCCTACTCTTGTGCATTTCACTAGCTGAACAGAACCTCAGAATTCCTTAATTTTCACCCCATTTTCCTATTTGTGGAGGTTTTGGTAGAAGTGGCTCAAACAAGCAGACTGTGATACCCATGAGGTTGAACGCCTTGAAAAGCAGCTCAGGACAGATGGTGTGCTTGACTAACTGCTGACCAGAAACTGACACCAGGATCTGGGGTGGGGAAACCACATTGCCTTTGCCATCCAAGTTCTAAATTTCCTAGAGCACAGAGGAGGCTTCAGGTTAACTGTTCTTCGGTCACCTGTCTCTTTTTGGTTTCAGCTAGTGACACCTGAGCTGCTCAAGGCGGGAAGAATTCAGAGCAGTGGAGGCCCTGCGGAATCTGGAGAGAAGAGGTGACCTTGGAACCAGTAATGAGCCATCCTGACTACCGGCTGAACCTGAGGCCCCTGGGGACTCCCAGAGGTAGCAAATGGAAAATGGAGTCTACTCTAGCAACTGGAAATAAAACTGGAATGGAGGCGCAGGGCGGGTCTTAGGACTAAAAGTTAGTTAGGTTAAGTTGCTCAGTCGTGTCCGACTCTTTGCGACTCCGTGGACTATAGCCCACCAGGCTCCTCCGTCCATGGGATTCTCCAGGCAAGAATACTGGAGTGGGTTGCCATTTCCTTCTCCAGGGGATCTTCCCAACCCAGGGATCGAACCCAGGTCTCCCACATTGCAGGCAGACGCTTTAACCTCTGAGCCACCAGGGAAGCCCCTTAGGACTAAAGAGGGACTATAATTCTTTTGGTGACCTCTTAAATATTCTCCTGTAGGTTAGTTACTTTAGAATTGTGCGGTTTCTTGTTGTCTTAATTTATTGTTGTATTGAGTACAGCTGTTTAATTTCCTCTAGAAAAGTGATGATCTTTTAGTAATTCCTATTTTTTTAAAAGTTTGTGTCTATAAACAGCAAAGCATACTGAACCCATTACTTGTGTTCTGTTCCATGTATATTGTGGTGCTGATTTAAAATTCAGGTCTCATCTGTGTACATTTTATTCATGTTTTCTTAGCCACTTTTCCTTTTTTATGACTATTTTAAATCATTATCAGGGGATTTTGTTCTTTTTTGGTCTTTAGTTTTTTTTAAAAAAAGGTAAAATATCTCCAGTTTTAAAAATACAGAGATGTTTGAGGAAAAAGTTGATTGCTGCCTCATGTTTCTAGGTGTGTCCTCTTTGGTTGGCCCACATGGTGTTGGTGCTTCGCCAGGTGACAAAAAGTCAAAGAACAAGACCACACGAGGGAAGAAAAAGAGCATATTTGAAACCTACATGTCCAAGGAGGATGTTTCAGAAGGCTTGAAGAGAGGAACACTTATCCAGGTGCTTAAAATGTACTAGAAGGCTATTCCTTAGATATATGGAATCAGAAGTAATCAATTATTTATGAAACTTTTTATTTTTCTGTGCTGTGTGCATGAAAGAAATGATGCCATCACAGGCCCAGAGCTTTCCACTTCTTGGACCTCCAGAGCAACTAGAGGTGAGAGGTACCACAAGACCGTCACAGAGTGCTGAGATTTGAGAGGAGGGAGCCATGACTTCCTGTAAGGGTTGTCTAGGAGTGCTTTATTGGAAGGGGTATATTAGAGCCAGGCTGTGGATTGCTGCAGTTAAGTGAAGAGAAGGAGCTTCTCTTGGGGACCAGTGTGAGCTCCTGAGAGAGAAGTGGGATATAGGATGTGACTGTAAGACACATTGGTAGGTCAGTTTGCTTGGAGCAAATGGACGCTTACTATAGAGAATAAGGTCGAAAAGGAAACAGTAAACAGCAGCAGACAATATTTGTTGAGAGCTTTATAGTTTGCTAAATATTTTACAAGCTAGTTCAGCAGTTTAGCTCGGCAAACGTTGGAGTATCCACTGTGAGCCAGGAGCTGTTTATATAGTACTGCATGCCACATGGGTGCTTCCAAGATGAAGGTGGGTGAGGCTGCCTTTCCGTACGTTGAGCCTGTGGCCCCATCGTGGAGCAGACATTTTTGTGGACAGATGATTTGAAAATAAAGGGTAAGTGTTCAGATAACAGTATGACCAGGGTGTATGGGAGAATGTTGGGGGAAACTGGGGAACTGTAGAAGGTGACCCCTGCAGTGAATAGTGAAGGATGACTGTATTAAATGAGTGATGTGTGTGTGGGAGGGAGATAAGGAGAGGGCGTGACACTAATGAAGACAGAAACAGTGAAACGGTATGGAGTGGGATAGCTCAGGTCTTTTTTTTTTTTTTTTTACTGCTATAATATTTTTTTTTTTTTTGTAGTGGTTTTGTCATACATTGACATGAATCAGCCATGGAGTTACATGTATTCCCCACCCCGATCCCCCCTCCCACCTCCCTCTCCACCCCATCCCTCTGGGTCTTCCCAGTGCACCAGGCCCGAGCACTTGTCTCATGTACCCAACCTGGGCTGGTGATCTGTTTCACCCTAGATAATATACATGTTTCAATGCTGTTCTCTTGAAACATCCCACCCTCGCCTTCTCCCAGAGTCCACAAGTCTGTTCTATACATCTGAGTCTCTTTTTCTGTTTTGCATATAGGGTTATCGTTACCATCTTTCTAAATTCCATATATATGTGTTAGTATACTGTAATGGTCTTTATCTTTCTGGCTTACTTCGCTCTGTATAATGGGCTCCAGTTTCATCCATCTCATTAGAACTGATTCAAATGAATTCTTTTTAATGGCTGAGTAATATTCCATGGTGTATATGTACCACAGCTTCCTCATCCATTCGTCTGCTGATGGGCATCTGGGTTGCTTCCATGTCCTGGCTATTATAAACAGTGCTGCGATGAACATTGGGGTGCACGTGTCTCTTTCAGATCTGGTTTCCTCGGTGTGTATGCCCAGAAGTGGGATTGCTGGGTCATATGGCAGTTCTATTTCCAGCTTTTTAAGAAATCTCCACACTGTTTTCCATAGTGGCTGTACTAATTTGCATTCCCACCAACAGTGTAAGAGGGTTCCCTTTTCTCCACACCCTCTCCAGCATTTATTGCTTGTAGACTTTTGGATAGCAGCCATCCTGACTGGCGTGTAATGGTACCTCATTGTGGTTTTGATTTGCATTTCTCTGATAATGAGTGATGTTGAGCATCTTTTCATGTGTTTGTTAGCCATCTGTATGTCTTCCTTGGAGAAATGTCTGTTGAGTTCTTTGGCCCATTTTTTGATTGGGTCATTTATTTTTCTGGAGTTGAGCTGGAGGAGTTGCTTGTATATTTTTGAGATTAATCCTTTGTCTGTTGCTTCGTTTGCTATTATTTTCTCCCAATCTGAGGGCTGTCTTTTCACCTTGCTTATAGTTTCCTTTGTTGTGCAAAAGCTTTTGAGTTTCATTAGGTCCCATTTGTTTATTTTTGCTTTTGTTTCTAATACTTGCTCAGGTCTTTTTAAGTGTGAAATCTGAGACAGGTAGTTGGTAATGAGATGAACAGGGAGGCGAGGCCACATATTCTTTGGATTAAGTCTGTTTTATACAATTCTTAGGTTAAGTATACAAACATTGCCATGTGTTACTTGGCTCACTTGAAGATGTTGACTGTGTTCGATTTTCTCCCATTTTGAGTGCTCGGCTTCTCTATTTGTATTTGGGGCTGGAGATCCAGCCAATTAACAAATACTCTCATCTTCTTTTCCTTTTTTATCACCTTTTGTATTTACCTGTGGTCCAGTACATGTGCTTAACATCGACCTTTGAATGAAAAATTATTTTTAACAAATTAGTTGCTCTTTATGATTTCAGAGGTACCATTGGTGGTTTTTTTTTTTTTTAAGCATCCCTTGGTTTCTTTGATAAGGCCTCTCAGGAAAGTTAAAGCTTTAGCTGGACATTTGTTCATTCATTAATCCATTTATTTGCTGTTTATCGTTCAGTGCACACACTGCACTCTGTTCCTCTGCAAGTGTCTTGGCTCTTGTCTTGTTCCATATATGAGGACCTGTTGTGCTTTTCCCAGTCTTATCTTCTGCCCTTCTCTTCCAGGTACGCTCTGCTCCATTCACTGTGATCTTTAAAACGTCCGCAATAAAAACTCTGCGCTTTGATTGCTCTGTGACTCTGTACATGCTGTTCCTGATGCTGGGAATGCTCTCCCCCACTATCTTGATGTAATCATGCTTGACCTTACCTAAATGTTACCCCCTTTGTGAAGCTTCACTTAATTCTCCAACCAGAATTGGTCATTACCACTTTTCCTGAAGCCAACCTTTTTGTTTACCCTTTATTCTAAACTTATTATCTTTTCTTGGCATTTGAGTTTCCTCACACAGATTGTTCACTTCCCTGTGGTTAGGGTCATGTCTTATTCCCACAGATTGGCCCAATGACTGGCATTTGATTGATACTTAATACATTTATATCGAATGAATATTTATTTACTGACTGAACAAAGGATCAAGGTACTGTCTTGGAAGAAGAGTGAGCGGACCCTCAGTTGTTATGACTTGGAGGAAAAATTGTTTATAAAATCTATAGAGATAGACTGAGGGAAATATTCTGCAGTGGTATTATTTTTGCTCCCTCGTATTAATTTTTGCTTTTGAAACCACTCTTTGCTAATATTAAAACAAAAATCTGATCAGTATAACAACTCTGGTTCCCAGGAGTTTGTAAGTGATTCCTCCTGGCCTGTGACATCATGGGAGTCTGCAGCCAGAGTATCCCCCCCCACAAATGAGAGCAGTTGTTCTCTGCAGATGGGAAAGGAATGGGTTCCAGATATGAGGTCACCTTGTGAAATATACAACACTGTAAATAAGGGTTTCATAGGCAGAGAAACAGTCCATCTGTGCAGGCCCTGATGGGTAAGGTAAAAAGCTAGTCAAGGAGAGATATTTGAATGCTGTCAAATCTTAATGCTACATCTTAATTAGATGTAAGCGTTCATTAACTTTTGTATGCAGACTTAAGTATATTGTGACATCCTTTGTCTTTTCCTCATATAAAGAAAATTTTATTGAAAGACAGATATTTGTAAATAAGAGTAGAATAATTATTTTATTTTCAGTGCTTTGACCAATAATTTGACGTTTCATTGTTGTTTTGTCATGCGTGGCGAAGAGAAGTCCATAGTGACCAAAGAAATCTCTTTCCTGTGTTTGAACTGACTGGCAACAACACATGTGTTTGAACTGACTGGCAACAAAACATATAGTTTTGAAATTTTTTTTTGGAAAATGAGTTTTTGTGTTGAAGAACATATGTCCTTTTTCTCTCCATAGGTACAGTATTGGGAAGTTATTATGGGAGGTATTGGGGAAAATGAGAGTCTGGGGTAGAGAGGCCTGGAAGGAGTTCAGGTTTGGGGTGATGACCAAAGTGACATGGGTATAAAGATGGTAAAATTGGTTTGTTTCATATTCCTAGGTGGTTCTTTGGCAAAAGATGGTTCAGGCTGAGCCCCCAGAGCTGCCTGAGGCATGAAGTCAAGTTTCTCCTAAGCTAAAATGTTGGTTTAAGGTTGTTATTGGACCCTGAAAGAAATTCTTGTCCAGGAAGACAGGACAGGATGTCCTGTATCTCGGACATTCACCATTTATTAAGAGGGAAAATCAGCTAAAGAACATTTAGATATGAGTTAAAGAGAAGAATAGTGGGCTATAGTGGATTGCCCAGTCATTTAGAAGGAACAGATGATATTCGTGACATTAATACTGCTGTGGTGGGAGAACTTCAACTCTGCAGACATGAATTAATAAGCTTCAACAAGTGTTTCTTGACTACCTGCTAAGTGCCAAGCATATACCAGTGAGCAAGATAGGCAGAAACAACTGAAGAAATAAAGAGAAAATCACAGTCTGTGTTGTGTGCTTATAAGAAAGCAAGAATAGTGAGTGAGAATAACTGTGGGGTGCCACTCTACATAGGGAGGTGAGGCCTCTTTGAGGAGGTGATCTGAGTTGAGATCTGAAGGGTGAGATTGAACCAGACATTTGGAGAACTAGGAAAAGAACATTATAGGCAGTGATATCAGCTAGTAGAAGGATGGCAAGTGGTGATTGTGAAAACTGATTAACATCTTTTACTGTTGTGATTATGTAACTGTTACTCATTTAACACTGTTGTATCATGATTGGTCAACAGAAAAAATAATAGAACTCTATATCACCAAAACTGCCATTTAATAGAAAAACCTATAATCACTTAAAAAAATCCAGATGCATATCAGAATTATCTTGGAAGTTTTTGAAAAATACAAATGTGCAGATATTGCTTTGTTTTCACTAGAGCTCCAGATATGTTTCTTATGAGCAGCCATGTTAAAAACAACTGGATTATATGATGATCTTTTACTTTTATCAGTTTGTTTCACCTT